ACCCTAAATAGTAGGATCCCTATATAAGGACCCCCAAATAAGGTACCCTAATTTTCTGAAACTCCCATTTAGAAGGGGGCAGGTCCTCGCCCCGAGCCTCCGGCCCGTCTCATCATCAGCGACATTCCAAAAGCCCTTATCTTACTTAAGGAAGATTCCCCTTAGATTGTGGTTGTAGTAGGTCCCTAATACGATTTGAGATATATTCCTTGATTAATCGGTTGGGAGTTTCTGAATCATAATCATCATCGTCGTCGTCATCAGCACCATCACCATCACCATCACTGTCACCGTCACCGTCACCGTCATCATCATCATCACCACCATCATCATCATCATCACCATCATCATCATCATCATCATCATCTTCATCTTCGTCTTCGTCTTCATCTTCATCTTCATCTTCATCTTTATCTTCATCTTCATCTTCATCTTCATCTTCATCTTCATCTTCATCTTCATCTTCATCTTCATCTTCATCTTCATCTTCATCTTCATCATCATCTTCATCATCGTCATCATCATCATCATCATCGTCATCATCATCATCATCATCACCATCACCATCAACATCACCATCACCATCACCATCACCATCACCATCACCATCCTCCTCCTCCTCGTCATCACCATCATGACCATCATCTCCTGCCATCGCCATTCTTGTTGCTACGGTTTCATCTATCTCCTATTAGTGCAAACGCTCTCTTGTTGTTATTGTGATGCTGATTTCTCCCTTCGGGCCCAATCTGGGGGGCCTCGAGCCATCTAAGCACGGCAGAAGTCGCGAGCCTTGAACCTTCGTTTGAACGGTTTAGGGTTTAGGGCTTTAGGTGTAGGGTTTAGGGTTTAGGGTTTAGGGTTTAGGGTTTAGGGTTTAGGGTTTAGGGTTTAGGGTTTAGGGTTCGGGTTTATATACGGCACGGGCGGTGCTCCAGAAGACAACCCCAAACCTGTTACACTCAGCCTAGGCTCACACGACTCGCCTACCATCAGCGGCTCGCCACGCCGCTGATGCTGAGCGTCTTGCCCCTTGCCTGAGTTGAGGTCCGGAAACTTATACCTTTGGTTTGGCGGTTCAGAGCCGGAAACTCTAAGGTGTTTGACGTTGAAGCTCCCTCACAGTTTCTGGTTTGGGATGTAGGGGTGAGAGGTTTGGGGGATCAGGGTCAGCCCGTTTAACCAAAAGCCCTAACCCCCAATCCCGGCTGTGACAGCAAACGCCTCACCGTCTGGGTGAAGAGATTTGGGGTTTCCAAACCAAGCAATCTCAAAAGCCTCTTTATCAAGCGCAGAACACCGGACCCTAAACCCTTAATGGAGCGGTCAGAACCAATTGTTTAAGCATCCCGTTATAATCCCCATATGAACAATGCCGATACCCTTCTTCTAATCATTCAGGCTACTGAACTCCAAACTTTTGAACCCTTGTCACAGAACCCTCATAGAGCCCTTAAAGCAATTCTTTAAGGACTCAACCCCCTGTACTAGACCATTGCAGCCGTATACCGAAGGGTTTGGGGCTTTCGGGTTTAGGGTGTAAGGCTTGCGGTTTAGAGTGTGGGGTTGCAGGGTTTGGGGTTTGGATGTAGAGTTTAGGGGTTTGAGAGTCGGCATGTGTGGTGTAGGTTCACGAGGAAACTTGCGACGGCATTCGGAAGCACCAAAATGGTTTGTTATTTATGGTGGCCTCCTGGTTGTCTTCCATCATCCCTCTGTAGTCAGCTTTCGGAGGAAACTGGTTTAGGGTTTTTTTTGGTGTTTCGAGCTTCGGGTTCTAGGATTTAGGGTTCTAGGCTTCAGGGTTTAGGGTTCCAGTGGGGTTTAGGCTTTAGGTTTTTTAGGATTTCAGGGTTTCGTAGCGGAGCGAGAGCTGCTGCTCTACTCCGGCCATGCTTTCATGCGACGGAGGCTTATAGTCGGTTTAGAGTTTAGGGTTTAGGGTTTAGGGTTTAGAGTTTAGGGTTTAGGGTTTAGGGTTTAGAGTTTAGGGTTTAGGGTTTAGGGTTTTCTATAGTTACCACTGGCCTTGCTAAGTCTATTTTGGGCTCCGCGCGAAGGTTGGAGAGAAGAGGCTTGAAGTTGGGAGTTGTGGGTCACCTGTAGTGAGGGGCATAAGTGGCTGACTAGTGGTACAATGACTGTAACCTGTTTGGGTATAGGGTTTAGGGTTCAAGGTTTAGGGTTTAAGGTTTAGGGTTCAGGGTTTAGGGTGTAGGGTTGTTACGTTAACAATTTAGGGTTGGAGGTCCAGAGTTTAGGGCTAGATGGCTAAAAGGGGTTTAGGGTTCAAGGTGTAGGATTTCGCCTATATGACAATGAGCTGAGGGCTCAGGGTTAGGATGGGTGAGCGCTATGTTATGGCCTGGTGTAGAACATGGCCCAGATGTAGAGCAAACTCCAGCTGCCGAACGTTGTGCGACAAGCTCAGTGTGTTGTGAAACCTGGTAGGCCATGGATAGCACGTCGCAGCCCTAAACCCTAAACCCTAAACCCTAAACCCTAAACCCTGAACCCTAAGCCCTGAACCCTAAGCCCTAAACCCTAAATCCTATCCATAAAACATTGGCGAAGGTCTCGGCGAAGATACTGACTGGTTGTCAGTCATTTCAGAGGTTTGAGCACTGAACCCTGGACCCACGTCATCCCGACCTAGTGATTGGGGTTTAGGGTTTAGGGTTTAGGGTTTATTGTTGCAACCGGAACAGTAGCTCCAAGCAACAGAAGCATGGCTAAGCAAGTTAGCGCAGTCACAATGAAGATGATGAGATTGATAGGCATGACAGAGGCAGCAACAAAAACAACAGTATCCGTGGCTCAATTCGTTTACGGCGTTTCCCAGCAACCTAACTAGAGGCAGTAGCAAGCATGTGACAATATAACATAGATAGAAAGCCATCATCGGTTCGAAGGGAACAAAGCCAGTAGCAAGAATCCTGTGCCAGAACCCTACTCGGAGGTTCATGCGTAGTTGCACGTGGAGTTGTAAGCAGGATAGTCAGGCCTCCTAAAGAACCAGGGACTAACAAGTATAGACTTCTATTTCATAGTCATGGCTCCTCTGAGGAACAAGTCCCAAAACAAGCATGAGAATATGGTACTCGTAGGTTACAACCGACAAAAGGGGACGTACCAACCACTTTTTGTAACTACCCGTGAACCTCGTGTAAGCCCGGGTCAGTGTCGGACGCCCTGCAAAGTAGTCGCAAAGAAGGAAAACCGACCCTTGGCAGAAGTTGCTTCTCAGATCATTGTCGGAAGAAGTGCCCCAAAAAAACTCGGAGAATCGGAGTCTGCGACTTGGGCATCTAGGGCTTTAGGCGTATATTAGGATGGAAGACCTGTAGCTTGGGGTTCGAGGATTTCGGCCTTCCAGGTTTAGGTTTAGGGTTCAGGGTTCAG